CTCTTTCACACAATGTAATTTTCAAGACTTCCCCCCATCTCAATGAAAAAATAACTCAGGACCCCCCCCCTACTTTCTCCTCCATCCCCCCCTGCCATATTTAATGACCGGTCCCTTACTATGGAAATAGTATGGATCTTCGTTGGATATGGTATGGAAATCCAATTTTCATACTGATTACAATTTCCATACTATGGATATAGTATGGAAATAGTATGGGTATACTATATAGATTTAGTGATGCGATTACAAATTCCATAGTATAGATTTCACAATTATTTTCGCTATATTTAACAGTTTTATTATAAATTTGAATATTTTTAGTCAAATATTTAACACACCTAGCTATTGGACTACCTATGATGGTAGTTGCGGTTAATTACCACACAGTTCATGAGTACCATGCCTCCACAAGATAACTTTGTAGCTGTAATGGTTAATTCTCGATGCGATTCATGTCTTCTGTTATGTCACATGCATGTCGTATCAGCATGACTTTGTCAGGAAAACCAAGTCGTTCGTTAACAACAACCATCAGTTTTCCTGTACTTGGATCAAATTGCATTTTTTGACGCAGTTGGGCACTCTCAGTTTCTTTTCTTGCACAAGTTGTACCAATCTCAATTACGACTCTTTTGGAGTTGGCGACTAACGTGTCTTAAAAGATAAGAAAAAGTAGAACAATGAGCATTTATAAAACAAAAAAATTATACTCATAGTAAATATTTCGCTATACTCGAGGAAAATTCCCCATTCCATTGATCATGTTGTGCGAATACGTCATTATTTAACTTTATATATATAGTATACGACCAATCGATAGCTAGTCGCATACATTACAGGTTTTTACATACATATAGAGAATAATACATGGGTGCTTGGAAATACCAAATTTATTTCGAGTGTTGAACATGATATCATGTTCAACGCCGAGAAATAAATCTGGTATTTCCAAGCACCCATGTATATTCAGTTTATTATATATAAACAAAAAATCAGTGAAAAACAATAAAACGTCCGTGGCAATGCATTTTACAACAAATTATATTTTCACACGTAAAAATATCGTATTTTTTACGTGTGTTTAAATAACAATTTTTCTCAGTGGCCAAAAACTCTATATAACACTTATGTTTATATAATAAAGTACCTTCTTTAATACTTCTTATGTCATCGAGAAACAAAGTATAAAGCTGTCTGCTGATATATGGCAATATACCAACATCTACTTCATCCCACAGACACTGGTACTTCTTTGCAGCGTTTTGTTGAATTGATTTATGCGACAGGACAATTTCTTCGTCGCTTCCGTGCTCCAGGAGCGCTTTTGCCATATCTGACGTCTTTTTTCTTTCTTCAAATTGGCCTTCTATCGTAGTAATTCCATCATTGATTTCTTGCATCCTATCGGTATAGATCTTGTCCATTTCGTCAGACAATAACTGAGTTTTTTTCTTTAAAATTTTTTCCACAAACCCCAAGACTTCGGTTCTTCTTTCATCGATCTCGAGTTTCGCAGTCTCCAAATTTTCTTCACAATTTTCTAAAATACTCTCCTTGTCAAATTGAAACTCGGAATACGCATCTCCATCTTCAAGAGTGCTACAAATCGACTTTAAATCTTCTCGCTTACTTTCTGCGATTTCTTCAAGTGGAGAACAAATGTGATCAGGTCGCATGTGTTCAAATGCCATACAATACGTACATATCAACTCCTCGCATGTTTCACAATAGAGCTTCAACTTTTTACTTGGATGTTTTTTGCAACATGATTTTCCTTTAATCTTCGATTGATTCTCTGGCTTTGATAGTTCTTCCATTGTCAGGACAACGTGGTCTTTAAATCCTGGGTAATCGTTGTGGAATTTAAGGCATTTCTCACACATAAACAGTTCACATGTTACGCAACGACCCACAGTTGGTTGTTCACAGTGCGAACAAGGTATACATTTGTTCTGATGTTGTATAGACAGGACTTCCACCATATTACAAATAAAGTGGTTTCTCGTTCCTGCCACTCCTATATAAATTGATAATATTAATTAATATATCCACATATAGTGGCTCTATACCAGTCTGTTTACAAACAGTATAGGCCTACATAATTAAACTTGAATTTATATAAAATGCTGATAATATAAGAGTATGCCCGATAGTCTAACTATATAGTATACTAACAGTACTTGTAATTCAATAATTAATGGAGAACACACACTCCAATTCAGGTCGTGTTTGCAATTTGCATATCTTATATACAACACGGCTGCTCGATATATATTATAGATATACAATTGATAGATTTGATACTATTACTATAATTATATCAATAATGTTTTAAGCAAAAGTATTATCTTTACCTTCGTTCAACGTGAAGTTGCAACGACACACAGGGCAGTTTAATTCATCATTGCGTTTGCCATCCACAAAATTTTCCAAACAGTTTTTACAAAACGAATGCAGACAAGGCAGTGTTCGTGGGTCCTCAAATGTCTCCAGGCAAATTGAGCACTCTAGTATGCTTTTCAGATCTTGTCTTTGGTCTGTTGAAGGCATACTGCTAGCAGAGGCCATTCTGAGTGAAGGTGGGTTGCTTCTTTGAAAAAGGCACCCAACATGAGCATAAATTGGCAACAAACTTAAACTAATCGATAGCTGTCCGATAATGGTGGAAAGGCGGAAGTAAAGATTGAAATGAATCGTGGTATATGTATAACCTTACAAGGTACAGAGGTCGTCCCGAGTTTAATTGTTTTTATTTGATGAGGGTTATTGTTAACCAGAACAGGATATTTCTCTACTAATCACGGTCGTGCTACTGAGAATACCGACATGCAGACTAACGAAACTTGAACATGTTTGACGCTTTGTGCTATCAATCACCAATTTATTCAAAGTACATGTGATAAAATCAATAGAAACTTGACGTTCCGTTCTTATATATATCTCACACTGGATCTACTGCAAAGGCCTTGATCGCAAGCTGTTAAAAGCACTAACTATAATCGATCTTCGAATTGATTTTGCAAACCATTTGTCATGCGCAAGTGATTATTAAATTAAGCCCATTTTACAATTTGCAACAGAAGCATCTACGTTCACATGAAACTAGCTACCTATAATTCCTATAGTCTATGCTGCATTTAAGATCTTATTAAATAACACAAGATATACAATTTAACGCTGATCTATTAATAACCATCGTCAATATATACCTATGCAGATCCGTGATCATCCACACAGATTTCTTACAGGTTTCGTAATTATTTACCCGATATACACTACATCCAGCCTATAATTATATTGTACAGTTCGCAAAGTTCAAAAGTATTAAATGTATATGAATTCGAGGCTGATAGCTACACTATCAATCTCAGTACGCTCTCATAACCATGTTATATACACTTTCAGAAGACCATACAGTTCCTTCCATGTTCAAACCTCTGATAAAGAAACCAGCAGCGGCCATGTCAGTACACACAACATTGTCCCCAGTGTTTTGAGTTCCGTTCACTACTCTCAACTTTCCTGTTGTTGGGTCAAATGTTAACTTCTGCCGCCCCGTGTCTCTTCCTAAAGCAACGTTGGCCAAATGACTTTGAACATCTTTGCTACCCGACATCGTCTGCGTTTAAAGTGCTTCGACGTTCACTGATTTGGATTCTTCTCAAACTGGACAGACTTGAGACAGTTTCAGCGTAATACAACCTTTTAGAATCGGGACGCAATACACAAGTGCCTTTTCGTGGATTTTGAGTGAAGTTCTTAGTAACTGAAAAAACTGTGTGCAGTTTCACTTTTACAATCTTACATGACATTATAATTCGTCATTCTTGCCTTCCCAGAACCACAGGGAAATTCCAGGTAATTTGTGCTCATCTTAATCACATCATGTTATTGAAATTTTGCAATCTGATTGGTTAAAATCATACTCTTGTGGAAGTGCATCACGGAGTCACGGGGCAATTGTATTCGTATCAGTATTGCAAGTTGTCTGTCCTGTTATATGTCCAAAACAAAGTAAGTTTTCTGAATTAGAATTTGTGTATATACTACAACAATTGACGGTTTACATTTTTTCAAAGCGACGATCTCACAAGATTCATCAATTTCCTCGGCCTACCTGCAGTGGCTTGTGCCACTTAACTTGCTTTTTCGAGAAGAGTGCATATATAGTTTGTGACCTTTGTCAAGGCACACTTTTTGCCAGAAGCTCGTGTATCAGTGTATACATCGTATTACTATGCCGTGGACTCCTGATCAAAGGCAAAGACTAGCGGTAGAGAAGGACATACTTGAAAAATATTTCCCTGGGAAAGTCAAATGGGTCGATCCGACTGGCAACACTAAATTGGATGTGACTATGATCACAAACAGCAATCAGACTTACTGCCTACGTCTGTATGTTCCAGCTGATTTTCCAAACAGCCTACCTGTCATGGTTGTGAAAAGCTCACCAAGGCCTATGCCTAACTTGGGCGATTGGAGGGCTTCTCACACTTTAGGACGTAATGATGAGGGTTTTATAGAAATTTGCCATTATCGTAGTTCTCACTGGAATGGTATGCATACTTTTTACGAAGTTTTTGTGAAAGACAGATTGTGGTTGGAGGCTTACGAAGGTCATATTTCAACAGGCAACTCGATAGATTATTACCTTGGCCACATGTGATTATGTGCATGTAATTAAATGAATGAAACAGATGAAATAAACTTCTATGGTTTTGTTGATTGTTCATGTAGGTCTTAAAAAAGGAACATGGGACTGAATTTAATAAACAAATACTGAATGAGGTTTTTGTGATGTTCATTATTATTGTATTTAGCCGTAAGCTGCCAGTATGGCCAATCAGATGACACGTAGTGTCTAAATGTATAGTATATTGAAATTAATACACAAACGCACTGTCAGCCATTTTTTTCTTTGGCCAAGCCAACTTGATACTCAGGGTCTTCACCCCTATTACCCCCGAAACACCTAACGGCCCAATCATGTCCTTACCGATCATCCTCTTTTCATCTGTCAATCTTAACACCTGTTACCAAACTACTTTTCCAACATCGCGAACGTTCTCTATTTTTCTTTTCTCTCAAATTTCACCCAAACATTTCTCGAGTAATTAATGCCGTTTCCGTTTTTGAAATATTTGTCACTCATGTTTTTCTTCGAAATCAGTGATCGGTTCCAAGAAAAGGGTAGTTGTTCGATATGGAAAGTGAAAATACATATTAAATGCGATTCAAATTTCATACTGTAAGCCATCGCATATATTCTTTAGAGTTTTTACCCGTCAAAATATAGACTTGTATATGCATAAGAATTACTGATAATCAAAATATATTGTGAGATGAAATATAACGCAAATTTGAATTTAACATGACTTACATACGTATACATACCAAATTTTAAGATTGTTTGTAATAGCAAGATAAGCATTTGAATCTTATTGTTAAACTTTAAGCTATCAGTAGCAGTTCAACCGTACATTTACTAACAGAAGCTTTACAGAAAATGTTAGTTTCGACTTAATTCAAGGGTTCAGTTATGTGGATATATTATATACACTAAATACAGTCGAGGACAGAGCAATCATAGAGCATTCCTGTGCAGACTTAATACATCATGTCAGTATATATGTAGACCATCCTTCACTGCATATGTCCAAGATAAAAGTCTAGATTTTTTCCGGTCTTTAAATGTCCTTCGTACGCTTCTAGCCAAACGCGACCCTTGACGAAGATCTCGTAAAATGTATGTTCCGGGTTCCAACGTTTTGAATAGTAATGGCAAATTTTCAGGCAGCCATCGCGTGTTCCTAATGTATGCTTTGTATCACTGATGCCCCAGTTTGGCATCGGTTTTGGCGAACCAGCGACGACCAGATCAGGCAGACTATTAGGGTAGTCAGGCGGTACATAGGCACGGAGTCGATAAATTTGGTTACTGTTGCTGGTCATTTCAATCTCGATTCTAGTTTTGCCTGAAACTGTGGGATCAATCCATTGTACTTTTCCAGGAAAATATCGTTCTAAGATCTCTTTTTCAACTGCAAGTCTGTATTGTTGAGTTGGAATCCAAGGCATTGTTTAGATTTTTTATATAAACACAGCAAATGCACCGCTAGACCTCTGCCGCTAGACCAACAAACTATACTTTATCTTCCGCCTTTGCATTTGTTAATGAATCATTTATCGTCTCGCACTATATTATGCTCGTCCAATCCGAGGACAGATATGCATCTTGGGGAGGGGAGGGAAGCGGAAGTAAAGCTCACTTTTCAAGTGAACATGGAAACACAGACCCCTCCTCCTGGGAGATCCTTAATTAATTTACTCCCTTTACTGAGCTTCGTTTCAAGTTGTTCTAACATGCATGCATGAGCTCATTTTTGGGTCAACTGTGGCATGCTCTCAGAACTGAAATTCATTAAAATTTCGGGCTGGGAGCTGGCTAGGTCAACATGTAGTAGATCTATATCGGGCCACACTTTGTCATAAAAGTTACGGTTTATTTAGCTGAAGAAGAAAGCAATATAGTTTCGAAAGCAATATTAGTCACTCTATATAGTTTCATAATATTATTATAATATTTGTCCTCTCAGTTCATGTGACCTAGAAAAGAATCCATTGTTTCATCGGTGGACAAGTGTCCTTCATAGGCTTCTAGCCATAACCGTCCCTTCATGAAGGTTTCGTAGAAAGTATGTTCACTATTCCAATGTTCTGTACGATAATGACAAATTACGAGAAATCCCTCACGATTTCGCCCCAAAGTATGCGTGGCAGCATTATTTCCCCAGCTAGGCATAGGGCTTGGTGAGCTTCGAACTACCATGATAGGAAGGCTGTTTGGAAAATCTCGTGGAACATACAGACGTAGGCAGTAAGTCTGATTGCTGTTTGTGATCATAGTCACATCCACTTTCGTGTTACCGGTTGGGTCGACCCATTCAACTTTCCCAGGGAAATATTTTTCCAGTATGTCTTTCTCCACCGCTAGTCTTTGCCTTTGATCAGGAGTCCACGGCATAGTAACGAAGTATAGCCACTGATACACAATCTTTTGATGCAAGTCTGAGAAGACAGAACTACACAGGGAATTTTGAATCGGCTTCTAGACCGTCCGTCTACTCCTTGACAAACTGCGTCTATTTCAAACAATCGTATGTACAAGGTGTATACTTTAGACAAGAGTGGATATATATATATCCTACAATGTTGAATGAAACGAAGTGACACAACGCTTCTAAAACGTCTATGCGTGCGCACTTCTGAGTAAGGTTTTAACCAATCAGATTGCAGAATTCTTTAAAGCACAATATTCTAAGTGAATTACGTATTGTAGATTACCAGGAATTGCCCGGGCAGTTCTTGGAAAAGCAAAGATGTCGTAAGACTATCTATAAAGGTTATAAAGTGAAATTTAAGACGTGCATGGGTAATTTGTATTTTCACTTTCCTTTTGCGGAATGTCCATGGACCGTTTTCCTGGAATTCGATGAAAGTTGAAGATGGCTGAACTATCAAGTCAATAAAAAAACTTGGACAAATGCGACAGCCAGACGAATCTGAGTCAAGAAATCAAGCCGAACGGAACTATTCCTGGAACCCCAATTCTCACTCTAATCCTAACTTTAATCCTAATCTTAATCAAGTTTAATCTTAATCCCAACCTAAACTTAATTCTAACTCTATCCATAATCCTAATTGTGACGTCATTAATATGGAAGTCACCTGAATATACCGGAAGCGAAAGTAATCTGTGCGTAGTCGTAGTCGTTCATACTTGTTGAATATTCATCGTTCAGTTTATATCAAACATCTAAACAATGCCTTGGACTCCAACTCAACAGCACAGACTTGCAGTTGAAAAAGAGATCTTAGATCGATATTTTCCTGGAAAAGTACAATGGATTGATCCCACAGTTGAAGGCAGAACCAGAATCGAGATCGAAATGACCAGCAACAGTAACCAAGTTTATCGTCTCCGTGCCTATGTACCGCCTGACTACCCTAACAGTCTCCCTGAGTTGGTCGTCGCTGGCTCACCAAGACCAATGCCAAACTGGGGTGCAAGTGGTAGTACCCATACATTGGGAAGAAAGGATGGCTGCCTGAAGATTTGTCATTATTATGCACCGCGCTGGAGGCCGGAACATACATTTTACGAGATCTTCGTCAAGGGTCGTGTTTGGCTAGAAGCGTACGAAGGACATTTACAGGCCGGGAATAATCTGGATTATTATCTTGGACATATGAACTAAGGATGGAGTACATATATGATTATGATGTATTAAATCATATGGGCACAGCCGAACACTTAACTATAGTGTTAGCTAACATTTACTATCAGGCTTCTCTTGTGGGTTTTAGTTGGCATTAATAGCGGTTAAACAAAAAATATATATCTGACTGTTCCATGTGTATATCTCTAAATTTCAAATAGAACGATCTCAAAATTATATATGTATAGTATGTTGTTATATTTAATATGTCCTGTATTCATATATTGCATTATTTCAATTTGCTTTCACGCTATCTTTTAGATTTAACAAATATAAAACATTTTCCGTGTGGATATACAGTTATATCAACACGAGTGGAAATTGGGAAAACGAGAAATTGTGTGGAAACACGACGCCCGAAGGGCGGAGTGTTTTCACACAATTTCGAGTTTTCCCAACTTCCACGAGTGTTGATATAACGACATATCAATACGGAAAAAATGTTTTATATTTGTTTTATAATATAGCAATGTCAAAAGCCCGAAGAATAAGAAAAATTTCCGTGTTTACAAGCGGCGGAAAATTTCCCGTGTTGACATGGAGTTATATCAACACGGCTCTTAGCCAATCAGCGTTCAGAATTTACAAATGCTATATTATAATTTATTTTGTAACAACTGCTATGTGGCAGCTATTTTACATCATATATTTTGACTGGTTTTGTGCTGGTTTCAAATGAAGAAAGTTAAAATTCGAACCGTGGGTAGTCAGTAGTTTCACTTTCAATATTGAATTATTGTGCATTTTCTTGGAATCTGGTGCATCGGTATTTTCGAAGAAAAAGGTGGACGAACGGAAATGCCATTAATAGTCCGATTAATGCTATACTATATAGGCGATGATCGATATATAAGAAAATATATTTTGTCTGTGTATATAAATGCGGCAAACAGGTACAGCTATGATCAATATATTACAAAATGCTAGCACTTAACTTGGGATTTTTTATCCAGTTGCAAGACACACAAGCCTCTTTCTTGACCGCAACTTAATATATTCCATACCTTCGTTGCGTCATTGCATCAGCCAAAACAGCTGGATATTATGGGAATTCCCCTACGTATTACGTATGCAAAAAAGAATATTCACACTTTTCAAAAGATAAACATATTATTTACAGCGAAGTACGAACGTCGTGTTGTTAACTTATATTAAAGAATAATGACGGATAATAAATTCCTACGGGCACGATTAAAATATGAACGGAACTCGCTTGAAAAAAACTACAACGGGGAAAAATTCCCATGGAATTGGAGAAACGGAATGGCTTTATTCGAACTAAACATAAAGACGAGCCGGAATAATGTCTACAGATTACGTATTTTGGTAGGGGAAAATTATCCCAAACAACTCCCCGATTTGGTTGTATGTGCTTCGCCAAAACCGATGCCCAAATCTTTAGAATGGCAAGGAACACATACGACTCATACTTGGCCACAGAAACATGGACTTTTACAGATTTGCTTCTATCGTCAGGTGTGTTGGGAAAAACAAAATATAAGGCTGTGTCAGGTTTTTGAGAAAGGCGAGCAATGGCTAGAAGCGTACGAAGAGCATCTTGCGACTGGTAAACCTATGGACGAATTGTTGCCTCCGATGGAGCCAACGGAAGAAGAATTTCAGGAAGAGGAACGTCGTAGGGCAGAATATGAACGTCGTATGGCAGAATTTGATCAGAAGATACTTGGGCTGAAATGAACCAATTTATAACTATAATATATCATGCATGAAGATTTGATATAATCCATCTTAGTGTAAAGATATAAAGCTATCCATGCAAACCACTGATCTAATAGTAATACAAACTAGCCAGAGGAGCTAATAATAATAATAGCAATCTTGCAAACGAATCACGACTCGTTTTCCTGATGGCCCACTAAATAAGGTATTATATAATTAATTGTAAACGCATAGTGACATAATGATATATAGAAGGATCTTCAGCAGAGACACATGCACAGACGAATTGTCAGACCAACTTGCTATCAAACATTTACACTGTCAGTAATGTAATATTTTATTTGTCATTGTATACATACTAATTTATTAATATTTTATTATTTATATTGTACAACTGCAACTGTTAAAATGTATGCTCCCAGTTAAAAATTTAATTACAATTATTTAATATATATATTGTACAATTTCGTTTACATTTCTATATTCGTACTTATGTATAAAATACCATAATGATACAATTAAACTCCTAAACGTTTCATAGTAAAAGACCACAGAAACATATTAGCTATCTTGTAAGCCGACTACGAGATCTTATGGGCTCCACGTTGAAGCCAATCTTTCCATCATCAGTCTATGTGAAAGAAAGTTTAAATGTACAACCAGCCAGGCTGGCCAAACTGCTTTATATTCGATGATCAGTGCACATCTCAATCCAATCAATTGAACTAACATAATCCTATCACTAGGGTTTTCATTTACTCTTTGTATAGCAGATTCACCACCTTGCAATCGTCTTTGCGTATTTCTTATTTGGGCAACAGTTGCAACCGGGAATATTGGCAAGTTATACTGTGACAAAATTTCTCTACTTATTCCAAACATATGCCATATTTCGAGCCATAGTTGGTTCAGAAAGTTAGACTCTTCTGACTGAACCATTGGAAAAGCCGCGCTTTGCTGTAATTGCACCAGATGCTGCTGTTCTCTCTGTGTTTCTACTTCAGTAAGCTCCATTTCTTCTAACTCCAATGGCAGTTTCTTTGTTGCCAGATATTCCTCGTAGGCTTCAAGCCACTCTTCTCCTTTTTTGAAAACCTATAAAAAATATATGAAAAATATTATATAATCGTTGTGGTTGGGAGACTCAGAAATTCATTTTTAGCAAGAGATTCGATTCCATTTGTATATGGTATACCGATAGTTCTTATTCCTTTTGATGCACAAATTAATCCAGTTTATCATTTATGTATGGCTATGGATAATTTTACATCGCCTATATACAATAATATTAGCATGCATGAAATTCATATATATCAGAATTGGATTTCTGAATTGGGCTTTCAATAAACTCAGCGCTGTCAGCGCTTGTACCTTGGGTTTGGTTCAACATTCAGAAATACATTTGAACTCTCTATTCACTCTACAAGTATTCACACATATCTCACTGATATAAACATGAAGTCTTGGATCGTTATATTGTTTCCCGTGAGATGGTTCTACTGTTGATTTAATTTAAAATATTAGACTAAAATTGAATAGCCTTTCACTTCATGGACTTAACGTCTTTTCGGATAACAGCGATAAATACAGCGATCTCTGAGACATTTGCCATAGCCATAGCGACTTGAAATTCAATTAACTTAATATGTGGAACTATGCAGTTTATTATGTCATTAAACCTACGTGATAAATCATCTCCTCCTCGACATTCTCGCTTAGCCAAGCTGCCCAACGCCAGTGACATATTCGTAGAAACCCACATTTAGGCGTCCATGTATGAGTTTTATGGCTTCCACTCCAATCAAGGCCGTTAGGCATCGGCTCCGGTGATTCACACACCACCAAGTCTGGTAACCAATGAGGATACTTGATATTCACATAAACACGAAGCTTATAAATTCTGTCTTCATTTAATTTCACTTCGTGCTCAAAACATGGCTCATTGTTTTTATTTAAGATTGGGTATTTCTTTGGACAAAAATATCCTTCCAGCATATCTTGTTCCTCTCTCAAACGTGCGTTCAAATCTGGTGGTCTGTAGACTTTAATCTCCTTACATTCCGCCAGGTCCGCCATATTTCTTTTGATATTGAAATATACTTATTAGTTATCCTTGTACAATAGCCGTGTATTCTCACACATCAGTAGAAAAACAATACTAATCGACTGGGCTTCGATTTTGTTTCCTAGTGATACAGTATTTCTTCTTACTAAGTGCCAAAATAAGTTCACTCTGTCTAGTCTTGTTCAAGTCTAAGCTGGTTTATCGGCTTTCGAAGGGATTTTCCCTTGCACCGAAAATTCTAAATGTTCTTATGACGTAAGGGGATCTCCAGGATTCCAAAAAGAGTAAGAACGTTTCTTAGTAAGTGCTATACTCAGAATTCTATCCGAATTCTGTGTAGCTGTTTATTATGATTAAATATGCAGTTGCAGAGTGAAACTGAAATTTAATTCTAATATTCTATTGCACCTTTATGGGATTCCCATTTGAACATCGAACACGAGTTGTGGTTTGTAATTAATAGGTGTCACCTGCTGTTGAATTATATTACATATATCAAGTTGCATGAAACTGTTGGAGCGACTAGTTTTTCTGTTCGAGTTTGAAATCAATCTTGAAAGAATATAACTGCCAGCATTTATTCAGGGAATAATATATCTTACATTGGCTATATGACACAGTGATGCAATACACGTCGTCCTATCTTTATACTTACCAAATCAGTTATTCTATTTATAAGCACTTCATCATGTATTAGTTATGCAGTTTATTTTTCTTCGTATAATTGTGTTCTTAACACGTTTCCTTGATATAGTGTATATTATATTGTCACAGCTTTTATTTAATATAATTTGATCCATTGATATATGGATAACACGAAATGCAGTTACATCTGGGAACCAAAACCCACCTAACCAAACAGATAGCTAGATTACAAAAGGCTTCATCTCCGGTGAGTACTGGAAATGCCTTGGAGTGGATTCGCTCTTGCACTAAGCGATTGATCACATATTCATGAGACTATATATAAGCGTTTCTTTGTTCCTCTTCAGTAAGTTGCATTTGCTTTAACTCAAGTGGCAAGTACTGTACATATGCCTTTCAACTCTGGGTCTGTGATCACACTTCGATTATTGCATTACGTAAAGCATATGAAGAGTGCCTCCAGATCCCGTGGTATTCTAGAGGAAGAAAGCAGATTATTGGTCTTTCATGTCCTCTATTAACTAAAAATATTCAACTTAACTTGGACTTGTGATAGATCTATATCGGGCCATTATCATAAAAGTTACAGTTTATTTAGCTGAAGAAGAAAGCAATATAGTTTCGAAAGCAATATTAGTCACTCTATATAGTTTCATAATATTATTTATAACATTTGTCCTCTCAGTTCATGTGACCATTGAAAAGAAAAGAATCCATTGTTTCACCTGTGGACAAGTGTCCTTCAT